TACATAAAGTACATTTGGTGATTTTTACGAAGAGTGAAATTATACAGGAAAGTAATTCCATTAAATTTAGTGTGTGGAATCAAATTTCTGGTGCCAAAACGTTGAGAAAGTTGGAAAAGGCCTTCAGTGAAAATTGTTTGTCGCGAGCAAGTGTCTTTGACAGATACAAATTATTCAAAGAGGGTCGCGAACACGTTGATCACGAATCACGTCCAAGACAGCCATCAACTGATAATCAACGCGTCAATAACATAAAGGAACTGGTGCTTGAAAATCGACGATTTAAAGTCAGATATCTTACCAGAATCGTTCAATATCGGTAGGAACCTTTTTGAAAGATCGTTTGGCCGTAAGGAAAATGAAAGCATGATTGGTTCCAAAACCACTAAATTAAAAAAATAGCGTCGCGTTAACGTCTGTGAAACAATGGTTTCCGAATACCAGGATGTCATGAAACGTATGATTACTTTTTTATTCTTGGATCTATGTTTACGACCCGGAAATAGACGATCAATCGGTCGAATATCGTGGCAAAGTTGAACCAAAGCCGAAAAAACTACGTCGATGCAGTCAAAAATCAAGATTATGTTGACAGTTTTCTTCCATTAGTGAGGTGTGGTGCACTCCGAATTCCTTCCGACCGATCAAGCTGTCAACAAAAAATTCTATTTTAGTGCTATGCGTCGTTTGCGGGAAGCTAATATTCGTAAAAGGAATCCGGAATTATGGTACAGTAAAGAGAAAATGCAATTTTTGCAAAAAAAAAAAATCGGCTACCTTGTTTACAAAATACAAAAAAATTCGGCGAAGATGAATCAGTGCTTCTTTTTCAAAAGCAACACCGTGCTTTGCTATACAAAATAATAAAACGCCATAATGGAATCTTAATCCTCGTACAGGGCCCATGAAATATTTTCGTACGCAAATTGTTAAAGTTGAATAGAAGAAGGTCTCCATTGTTCAACGTTTCAAAGACTGAGGTGGACAGCTCGGCAGTCGCAGCTTCTACGAAATAGGAAAAGAAACTCATTTGTGATAGGCTCAAAACACTTTGTCCATTTATGAGAACCTTTACAATCAATATATAGTATTAGTATTTTAAGTATGACAACGAAGCGACGCTCTAGCTATCCAAGTAAGATTACTGCTAGGAACGACCTTTTAACCTGACCTAATTTATTGTAAAAAAAATGGACTTTTCCATATCTAACCACCAGAGTTACCAAAGAAATAAATTCCCAATTATTTGGTAATCCTAAACAAGAAAACAACGAAACTTAATAGTTTATAATATGGCCTTTAACTGGCTTTTTTTCGTCTCCAGAGATCTAAAATATTTTGTATCAAGCATTATATGCCGATATCGAGTATCGATCAATGCTTGAAAATATCACCAACAAAAAATATTGTAGAAAAAGAAACAAGAAGAAAACATATGGAGCTTCCTGTAATTTTTACGAAGATTGTTTTTGCCTAATATTTAATAATAATCAAATTGTTTTCTTCTTTAGCTACACTAAATTTCGGATCTATGGTTCGAAAAGCTAGCGCTGAATGTATATAAAACTACAAGTTTTAATGTCTGTGCTTCTTCACCCACCTCACTATATATTATCACTCAACGGAATTTCTCGATAAGTACTGCCCTTCGTGACCTATCTACAGCTTAACATAATAACAATACTTAAAAAATTTTGAATGGATATTCATACAAATACAAGAGTTTCGATTTGAATTGTCAATTGGGCCTTAAAAGCTCAAAAAAACCTTAACAGTAATCTTTGGTAGCGATGTCGGGTATTTAACCAGTTACTCAACCGATAAAAATCAAGTTCTTGTGTAGGAAAGTCCTTTTTTGTTAAGGCTATTACTGCTTCGGTGCAACCAAGTTTAAATTTTTTCTTGTTTTAATAAAGTTTTGCCGACACCTAGAACTTACCTCACACTATTAGTTAGTCTTACAACAAAAAATGTACTTATAAATTTCCACGAACAAAAATTATTTAAAAGCTTAGCATATTGCTGAACAAATAAAATGTAATGACTTAATATAAAAGAGCAATTACTCTGTTCTCTTACAAATCATTCATTAATTACCAAACTTAAATAAATTAAAAATGAAAATAGACACAAGCACACATACAAACAAATAATAGAAATAAAATAGCTGCTCAAATAGTGCAACAACCCCTTGAACAAATTATTTACAAGCTTTATATTGTTTCATTAAACAGCTGAAATATGCACAGATAGCTACATACATACATACAAACCTACAATGTACAGCCTCTTTATAAACTATTCCACAATCTCACTAAGCAACAATAAAAAAAATAGAATTTGCTTCGCTTCAAAAGCTTTTCAAGAGTGTCGAGAGCGGCACGTGGTATAAACGACGCGAAAATATATAAATAAACAGAGAGTGAAACTCACGAAACTCTTGCAATCAAACGAGCTTTAATCGAGGTACTCGACGACAACAAAATTAGTGCACGCGTTACCAGTGTTACCATTAAGTACCTTGTTTAGTATAAATGATGCCAATAATTCTAAAAAACGTAAAAATTTAGCACGGAAATTAGCCGCCGCCAACATTTGAAAGAGATAATCTTCAAAAAATAAATGCCATAGAATGTATGGCATCATAATGTTGTATTCCCTAAAATATATAAAATTTGAGGAAATAAACTTATTTTTTGTGCTAAATTTGTACGTTTTTTAGAATTATTGGTGAAAGTTAGTTAAAAATATATATGATTAGTCTATATTCGTTGTAGTTCGTAGAATATTTTAGCTCAAACCTACGAGCGGTACAAAGCCTTAAAAAACGGTCGGAAGAGATCGTTGTAGACATGCCTCGCTTTGGTCGGCATTTGACCTCTTCAACTGATCAAAGTATTAAAAAAGAGAAAGAAATGACGCTTAAAAATCGTCAGGCAAAGTTTAGAGAGATGGCAAGAGAGTTCGACATTTCTTGGGTGTCCGTTCAAATGATTTTGGAGATTATTTTAGGTATGAAACGCGTTCTTGCTCGGCTCGTCCCGATAAAGCTGATGAGACATGGGTTTATGAGTTTAACATGCAAAAAAGTCAACAATAATCGGAATTCTGATTCTGCTTTCATAGCACAATTCCTAAAAATCTTGATAATTTTCTTAGCACTAAGCTTAAAATTGGTGATGTAATTTTTTATGAGACAATGGCTACACTGCTCGTAAAGCACAAACTATTAGTTACATGTAAATATATTTGTAAACAATGTAGTAATATCAAAATATACAAATATATAAGTAGATGATGTTTAAGATTCAGGATTTCGTAACCAATTTCCGCCCAACTGTGAAATATATGTAAGTCTATCTTTACAATTTTGATTACACATTTTCACAAAATGTATAAAATAAAGTTTGGTTTGAAATTAAAAAGCTTTGAAACCAGAAACTTAAAATTTAATGGGAAAATAATTATTATCATTCGAAAGAACTTTCCATGGCATTTATTTTTTGAAGATTATCTCTTTCAAATGTTGGCGGCGGCTAATTTTCGATGACTCCTTCGACCATTTCGAGTGGTAACTGGTGAATGACACACATGATGGTTTGGTCCAAGACCAAATCATAACAGGATTGTCCGCGTAGACTTTAGACTATACATATCGGAACACAAAAAAGTGTAATGATGTGGTATCCACGATCTTGATGGTTTCTTGTTGAAACCAAACATCACTGAGATCACGAATCTCAATTTTAGGCATCAAATATTCGTCACAAATGTAGCAAAATATGTTTACATACTTATTCAAATAGAAATGGCCCCATCGCTGAACAAAATTTGACTCGAGAACGTCGGATATTCTTGGAGCTTTTGAATAGAATTTCGATATACGCTTGTCAGAAAAAAAAATCATAATTGATTTTCTCCAAAACTTTTAACAGGGACAATGGAGAAATAAATTCTCTCTAAGATAAATAATGTTCTTATGTCAGAGGTCAGGTTGATATCAAATGAAAACGTACACCTCATTGTCGACTACATAACATAACCTGATTTATGGCACACCATCCTACATCCCGAAATTTTTTCGGTATTTTCAGTTCTAATTAAAAGCTAAATATTTCGGATGCACCTAAGCAACAAAAAGTGTTTAGTTTGCATGTTGCAGCGGAACGTCACGAAATTTGACGTCAAATTAAAATATACAATGGTAAAAAAGAAAGGCAACCAAAAGAGACAAATAAAAAGTAGTCTAGTAGCCTGTGAAATGTTTCGCTATTTTTGAAATTTGTTAGTTTGTAGCGGGTGGCGTTGAACTATTACATAGCTTCAGTTTTACACTTGCATATAGATAAGGACATATGATGACATTATATACAAATGTATTACAAACTAGTACAATTGAAATGATACATATAACTAGTCAAACAAATTTTTACTTTAAAACAACTTTTTCCCAATTGAAATTCAACTATTTCGAAAAATATTAAAGATATGCAAGTTCTTTGAATAGTTGGTGCCAAACGTAAGCATTGTTATGTCGGGGTATCAGTATTAGCTCACAAAAAACTCAGACGAACTGAAGAAAATCGGAATTAAAATTATTCTTGGGAATCGTTATTTAACTATTAACAAAAATATTTGTGCTTAACTGATCTGGTATAAACTGGTATAACTAGTATAAACCGGTATATATGGTGCAAATTAATATATTTCTGGTCGAAATTCGAGATTTTAGTAGGTAAACACATTAAAACGAAACTGTCTGGCAAAAGGACAGTAGGCTGACTAGTTGTGCAGGGAGCGCTCAGAGTCACTAGACAGACAAATATTTGATAATCATGATACAAGGGGTATTTGAGCGAAATCTCTTTTCTTGCTTGCCAAAACGTGCCGACTTTTCCGCATTTTCTGAAGATTAAAAGTTCAATGTAGTCATGAATCATGTCGTTCAAATTGTGTGTATTTTATAAAATGTATTGGTTTCATGTTTGTAATATACTCACTATGGCTTGCTTGCTGTAAATTTGTTGAGTTTAGTAGCGTCACTTTTTTTTTAATTTTACTAACATTTTTTAATAACCACAAATATATACACTATTTATTTCAAAGAAATTTACTTTTAAGAGTAAGTAAAGAGTGTAATAACTGTAAACGCACTTAACCATACAATTTTTGAGTATTTAAATAATTGCACATTTTATTGAATGCACTGAACTAATTATAGATGTCATGTCTGGCAAAATACCGTTAGCTGAGTAATAAAAGCGCGTCCAAAGAGATGAAGGGCTAAGATGTTCACAAAGTGATTTTTTAATTATCTTTTTGTCACACTCTTGCACCGCGCTATGTTTAATTATAGAACGAATGACATTCCACTATAGTAACCTTGATACTTTCCGCCCGCCGCTCGGCAATCAATGAGCCCTTAATGAGAAAATATAGACTATATAATAAAGTCGTCAAATACGCGCAAACTTAAAGCAAATGAAACGCGAAGACAACATTAGCGACACAATCAAACAGCAAATGAAACGAGAATTTTCACAAAAAAACGCTGGAAAGCTGTTTCCACATCTGTGGCCCAGCCAAAATCCGAGATTAGCTAACTACGCGCTCTGCTTGGACCCAAAGGAATAATAAATATGTAAACAGCAGAAGCACTTTTCTTCCGAGTAACGTCTCGCTGGTTACTTTAACAGTTATTTATAATATATTATATTATATGTTTAAATTATATTATATATAAATTGATATATGTTATATGTATTTTAATATGTTACATATGTATGATTTAAGAAACACACAAACAAGGCTTTATAGTGTCTCTAGCGTAGTGTGGGTCTATTGGTCAACGTCTTTGCTAGCGCGAAACCATAACCAAACCGCTCCACAATTAATTGAAAACTGACTGAGCGCTGTTTAGCCGACGCCGTCGACAACTAGCATGTGAAAATTTTAAAAAGCTCAGTGTGCTTTTCCGGCCGCTCTCGCAGTATCGCACATTTCGCACTTTGCCCCCTCTGGCTGACTACGTACTCATAGTCGTGCTTGTTGCCCTTTCTATGCGCTAGAACACGCCTGCTTTTGCATTTGTGATAAGTACGAGTGTAAAAGTGCTGGACGCATTTTTTAAGGGTTGCCAAAGCAACTTTATGGAATCAAAACTGCCTGAGCGATGTATTGGCATAAAACGAAATTGTTTCTTACGATTGTGGTGTGCAATAGTTTTTATGAAAACAGTATCTATGTACTATATATTACTACACCAGCAATAACACTTCATGATCTTCTACACATAGCATCCGTGTACCGCTGGGTATACGCAGGAGTCCAAACAGGGTCACGCAAAAATTCTCTTCTCCTTCAATTGTATCCCTGAAAAATTGTGCTCCTGCGTTACAGATGCTACACCTGGCTTTTTCACGGATGGATCGAAGCTATGAGGCAAAGTTGGAGGAGGAGTCTTCTGTAAGGAGCTTTATTCCAGCGGACTACTGTAGTGTTTTTCAGTTTTGGCATTGAGTTCGCAAACTCAACACTCAAAGATGACCTTGCCAGACGCGACAGTAGTAGCCCGCTCACATCGGAGTAGGAATGAGTCGGTATCACCGTTATCATCTTGCGCTCAAATGCAGGACCTCGCGTGCGCGTGGAATGTAATAGATGTACTGAACTGCTTCCCCTATGTCAATAGCGCCGTATATCTAATACAGTTCATCGTTCCCTCGAATGCGGTATTCGCCGTGGCCAATGCGTAAAGAACCATAACTCCGTAAGACCTTTCTCTCAAAAACTCGTAATGCCGACTCATCAGATGTTGTCAACGTCTTTAATCAGGACTTTAATAACGAGCGACTTATAGAGTTTGGTTTTTGTTCGTCGAGAGCGAATTTTACTTCTCATTTGCCAACTCATTCCGAAGTAGCATCTGTTGGCAAGAGTTATTCTGCCTTAGATTTCGAGACTGACATTGTTATTGCTGTTAATACTGGTTCCAAGATAAACGAAATTATCTACGAATTTGAAGTTATGTCTGTCAACGCAAGTGCGACGATTGTTTGGAGAGGAGATATTTCATGTTGCCCTCGACCATACTTTCACTAAAAATTTCTTAAATATAAAGTTCTTCCCCTCGGCCGGTAATGTAACTGAAAATTATTAAAATGTCGATAGTTATTACCAAATTATCGCCTTATAACAATATAGCATCCTAATTTTGTAAATTGACTTGTGCAGTGCAACAAGCTCGGCCAGAATCCCATTCGTTCAAGGTGAACAATTATGTGTCGTCCGATTTCTTTAAATCATTATTCGAGAAACTAAGAAGAAGAATGAAAATCTCCAAAAAAAAAAAACAGAAATCCATTGTAAATGTAGCATACAAAAGAGATTTGTTTAGAAGCACAGAGGCATTTTTTCAGTTCCTACAAGTGTAAGTTGTGGACAAGTCCTTATTATTAATCGAAGGCTTAACAAAGGAACTCCTGCTGGAGAATAAAGTGTAGCTGCGTATTACCGAGCAAATGCTAATCCGAGTTTTTAATGGAAACGCCACCTAATGTTCATTGATCGTGTGGGATCAACAGATTTGCATTATTGGATAGCATCAACAACTTTGAACCTTTGATACGTCTCATCACCCCAGCATTAAAGAAAGTCTTTAACAAAGAGCAACGTTCTGCTTCCGAGTTTGTATTTAACTGCATGTGACTAAAATATATCTTGATCATTTGTGGAGTCTTAAATAACATATCTTTGAAGCTCAGACCTTATGCAAATAGATCACCGTTTCTTATGGTTCATATGAAATGAAACCGTGACATACTTCAGCTGAAAATATTAAGTATTGATTTTCAAAGAAGTCAGTTTAGAACCTAGAAAATGGAAAAGAGAGTAAGATTGGCTTAAGGGGTTACATGGCTTTCCTCGGGTAAAAAACATAATTTTTTCAAAATTGTTTTTTTTTTTCATATAAAAAATGAAATATTTTTATTAGAAATTTTTATTGTTAGAAAAATACATTATTAACAGAGAAATTCTGAAATTTTAAACTCGGCCAGTGCGCCGCCATACCTTAAAGGTCTTCTTCTCTCCCATGAAGTAACACTTTGTCCAATGGTCTAGTGAGAGAAGCATAAGATAAAAGTAGGTTAGGATTAAAGTTCCACACTCCGCCTTTCGATGCTTGCTCCTACTATAAAAAAAAGGCTCATTTTGTTTAAAAGCGCACATACTTTATTAATTACAAATTTACTTATGGCAAAGCACTAGCACTAAATTCGCTTAATACTATATGCATGCATATATACACAGTTGTGTACACAAGCAATTAATATTACATACCTTTTATGTACTAACGAATTTTCCATTACAAAAATGCCGTATAAATCGTACAAAATATCGCTTGAGATGCCACAAAAGGAGCACCCTTTATTTTTACAAAATCTCTCTGTAAGTTTTTTTTTAGCTTCCCAAATCGCTCAAAAACATTCAAATTCCAATTATTGCATGGATTTACAAAAATATACAAAGAGCGAAATGTTGTCCTTTTTTTTCTAATTCCTCCACAGTAAAAATTCCTCAATCTGCGCACAATTATAGGTAAGACCTCACAGGAAACGTAATTACAGCGACTGTGACCTTGGCAACGGTGTTCTGCTGTAATCACATTTACGAAGACGAGGATGATGAAGATGACGACGACGTTGTTGTATCCGATGAGTCAGTTGATGTGCTCTCTGATGAGCTGCGCTTACGCTTATTACTCTTCAATTTACGCTCCGAGATCACCTCATAGCTGGGCAATGTTGAATTGCTGGAATCCGATGAACTACTCGTTGTTGTAGACGAACTGGAGCTACTTGTTGTTTCCTCCATGACGGGTTCGACTTTTTTCGATTTTCTGCCGATGGCAAAAAGAGCAAAAAACAAAAAAACACATTTTCAATTGACGTACATGAGCTCAGCGGCGAACCTTTCTATCAACCAACTTTTTCTTGTCCTTCTTTTCCGATCTTTTACCGCCGCCGGCATCACCACGTTTCGACTTCTTCGCCCCGACAATATCGCTCTCGACCGATGAGTTGCTGCGATCACGTTTCTTTGATTTTTTATCGCACCTCTTGTCCTTTTGTCGAGCACTGCGCTCATCCACCATTTTTGTTGAGTAGAGATTCTGCGAACTGGCAGTGGAGTAACCAGTGTCCTTACGTTTGTGCTTTTTCGATCTTGAATTAGTTAGGTGAAGGGAAAAGAAAGAGAAATATTTCAAATATAAGTTTTCGCAAATTAAATCAAGCGTATTAACGCGCGCTCACTTATCCTTTTTGTTCTTTTTTCGTGTTACGAACTCATCCTCGGCGTAGTCACGTGCCCTGAAAAGTATGCGTTTACGAAAATATTTTAGGAAGCCATGCAAGCATTAAATGTATAAGAGTATATACTTTTGTATCTTCCGCTTGACATCGGTACCACGTTCCGTTGATATCATGTATATGCTATTGGCGTCCGGATCTTGGGCGCGACGTCGAGACCTGTAGTGTTGCGACTTGTCGCCACCAGATTTTTGTTCTCGCCGATTCTTCCAAAATTCGGCGTTTACTACATAGAGACGATACAACTGCAAAACTATGACCAACGTGTTTTTACCTAAGACAAGGAATAATTCAGTTAAATTATATGGTGTATACTGATGTAAGGCGATATCTTATAATCCTATCTCATATTTGTGAACACTATGTTTCCTACAAAAATTAAGTAAAAATGTTAATTATACTTCCTAAATAGTTTCAAACTAAAGTAAAATTATCTCATAGAGGTTATCATTAAAGGTTTGAGGGTAGTTGCAGTTTTAGACACCAGTCGGAGGAAGATTTAGTCGGAATATTTATCCAATTTATTTTATGAATCTTCTCACAATATAGCTATATTAGTGCGTTTTTTTACAATATTGCCACATTTAACGAGTCAATTGAAAAGTCACCGAGATGGCGCTACTAGAATTAAATCCATATGATTTTCAGTTAGCACTAACCTTCAAAAGTGCGTGTCGGATCATTGGAAAGTGAATTATATCATTTTGAGTGAAGCAACCTTTGTTAATGTAAACAAATGCATATAAAGGAGTTTCGCATGTAGATAAATATTGCTTTTTGAAAGACAAAAATATAGTTGAAGCAAAAAAATGTTTTGTTGATGAGTTTCCGGATACTGCCCCAAGAAAATTAATCATCAAAGATTGGTGTGCTAAGCTCAGACGTGGTGAAATGAGCACCGAAGACGGTGAACGCAGTGGACCCCGAAAAAAAGTTGTTACTGACGAAAGCATAAAAAAAATCAAGAAATAATTTTGGATGGCCGTAAAGTGAAGTTGGTTGGAAAAACTAAAAGCATCTTTCCTGGCTTTAATTTAGGTACATCACATACAATCACCAATCATATGGAGTAAAGTCAGCCTGATGCTCGAAAATCCTCATATTAGTTCGTAATATGTTTTCAAGTTTTCGTCCAATTTTAACTATTTTAGGCACAAAGATAAGTAAAAAACTCTTGCAATTTTCATGGAAATATCTCAAATATTTACCGATATATGCAGTATAAAGTCCCTCCGAAATTCGAAAATCTTTATATTTGGCATATGGATGTTCAGGAAAGTATTGATCCGATTCAACCCACTTTCGATACGCACAGTAACTATTGTCAGAAAAGGAATCTCTTTGCATTTATAGCACTGACCAATATTTTAAGTCAAAAGTCAACTGAGGTCCACATATTAGGTACCTAGGGGTTTTAACAGTTTTGGTTGGATTTGGGAAATGTTTGGTCATAAGGCAGTGACATAGAAATTAAGGAGAATGTCACATAACCAATTTCCCAACTTCACTAACTAAAGAGTAGGCAGTCCAATGTCTATCGATCAATTATCACACCGGCACCAATAAAGCTCTGTTTTATCATTTTGGCTGTATAATTTTTTGAGTCTGGCTTATTTAGTTATTGCTTTTACGGTGTTTTCGTTGTTTTTAACATTAACATCATCTCATTTCATCCATTTTTGCACTGTCGATAGAAATTCTTACAATATTTATATGCTGGTTATTGCAGTTTTAGTGGTTTTGGAAATATATACTTTAAACTTATTAGAGTGTCACGGGTGCCCCATGCCATATCGATCACCTTTGCCAAGTTAGTGTTCTATATCTTAATTTAGCGCTTAGTTAAGGTACTTTATTTTTCAGTTTATGACATTTTCTGGGCGTGGTCATGGGCAATGGTCAGATTTTTCAAATCTCGAACTCGATTCTCTTTTCGCCAGGGAACTCACATACCAAGTTTCATCAAGATGTCTCAATTTTTACTCAAGTTACAGCTTGAGCGGACGTACGGACTGACGAACAGTCATACTGATCAAATCTGTATATAACCCCATATTTATCTCGATTATTTTTTGGTGAAACGTACAACAGTTAGGTGAACAACACGTTATTTAAGAAAAAACGTAGACCAGTCTTATTCGAAGTATTGTCCCTCTGAAGAACATTTTCCCATCTTTATGTTAATTTGTGGATATCATGCCAAAGAACTGCACTGGTCTGGCGGTCAAGAATGAATCAAGCCCATTGTTTTACCCTGTTCTGATGTGAACTGTGTTTCAGAAATTACGTTCTGCATCGACCGGAATAAATGATTGTCAGAAGGTGTAAAGCCGAGTGAGGCAAAACCTCCAAACTCAATTATCCAAATAGTTTTTAACGGGTCTTGTAACATGAGGTCGGACGTACTTATGATAAAAAAAATTATTGCCTCTAGTCTAGTAGAGAATTTCGGATATTTTTCGGCAATCGATCACTTCAATTTTTTGTCGGTAACAGAACAGATATTATACTCACATTTGTGGTGAATCGTGTTAAAATTTCAATATAAGTATTTTGATTCGAAATTATTTTGTATGCAGTTTTGTTTGCGATACTTACATGTGAAAAACACGCTCATATAATTTAAGATTTTATATTGGAATATAATTAGCATGCGCAGCGTTAGAAATGGCGCATCCTGCAATATCACATTGAGCACAATAGCCCACACATCGATGCCACAGCAGCAGCCATCACAACAATCGGTCGTTCTGAGTAAGATATATTTTTAAATTATTACAAAATAATGAATATCAATGGTGAATTTAAACAGACATACCCATCATTGTGATGTATGCCACCGCCGCGTGGACGCCTCGCTCGAGTCGCTGATAAAACAATAGTGAACTGCATTAAGCTCCAAGACCAAATACCCAACGTAAGAAAGACCAAGAGATCTATTTTTATGATGTTGACATCTTTGTAAGACTCGAAAAACTCCATAATATCAGCAGCTGTACCTATAGTTTGAGATAAAACATCAGTAATAGAAAAATATCTAAGGTATTTGTTAAGAATTTCATGGGAGAATTTCAGGTTTACCAGCTTAAATCATCAAAAATTATCCACAAACTTTTTTTATAAATACTTTATATTGTTGAAACGACTTTTGAACAAAATTAAAAATAATTATTAAATACCAATATATAATCTCACCTATATAAACCAACAACAACTGACTCAATTGATCACGCGTCAAATCGCCTTTCGGCAACATCCAGCGACCGACGATTAAGATAAGCATTAGAAATTGTTCGATCAAAGTGATCCATGTGTCCGGATCAATTTTGAACACGGGCAAATCCAAATCAGCGATCTCCGCTACTTCTTGTAAAATATTCTCATTGCTGCTATTGTTGTTGCTATGGTTATTGTTCAACTTGCGTGACACTTGATCTAATTCCAATAACCAAATGGCCGGCACAATGCTGCTTAGGTATAAAAAGACCGAAGGACAGAACCTGTGAAGAAGGGTGGAATTCATAAAAAATAGTGCAAATTCAATTAAAAGCAAAGTAATAACCGAAGCAAGCAAGCTGACTAAGCACACTTGTTGCAACTAAAAAGGATAATAAGCGTTTACGTTGATAATTAAAGGAAAGAAGGTCGGTAAAACTTGAGCATTTTAATGTGAGGGTTACTCATACGTCATGTTGGTCATAGCAGATATTATATATTGTAGGTGCTCGTGTATAAATTTGCCATAGATCTACTTCGCATATGTCTATATTATGGTAGGATATTATACTTTGATTTTATTTATACATTGGAATTCACTGCTGAATAAATCTTCTTAGTATAATTTACATAAAATTTTTATTAAAATTTCACGTTAAAGACTTAAGTCTAATTCGGGTGAGATTTTCATCTGCGTAATCCTTCAAGTACAAACTAAAATCTTATAATTTAACACATGTATATATGTATGTAGGTTTAGTTGACACCGATAAAGTTTAGAAACAACCCATTCTTGAACATTTTCTTCAGACGAAATAATAGTTGTGGAGACATATGGCATCGATGTAAGTGTTACGCTATTGCAGAAGATTTTTTCATTGAAGATTCGATAGAACCTTATATGCGGTGTTGAGGTGACTTACCCAACGGTAGTTGGCTTGGGCAATATAGTGGTCCGAATTAATGTTAGGACCCCGGAGCGTCTGCACGGTTAATACGTTTAATATACGGGAAATATGTCTTCCCGCTATCACAACGTGATCGATCTGGTCGGTGGCTTTTTGGTCCGGAGACAGCCAGCTAGCTTAATGAATTTTCCTATGCTGGAATCTAGTACTACAGGTAAACGTATTAAGGGCACTGATGAAGTCGATTGCCAAGCACGATTTTGACTTAGTGACTGGGGCAGCTCTCATAGGTGCGCTCCAGGCGCTCACGGCCCCGTCGGGGCGTGGGCGCAAATCTTCGATATGTTGAACAACTTCGCTTTGACGTGGATTGTGATTAGACGTTCATTTACCGGGGTGAACGCCAGTACTCGGCGACGAAGTCTTTCTGCCACTACGAATCTCATATCGAATTTGTGCTCCTTTATATGATCACTGTAGTATATACTATTGTGATTAAATTGAAAAGTGAATTTCGTCCACTTCATTTCCTTCAAAGTAATCCCCTCCCGCTGCAATACACTTATGCCAACGAATTTTCCAGTCATACAACTTAGAAAAATTCCCCTGGTGATGGCCATCAGAGCCTTCTTCGGTTCAGCTTTTATATCCTCGACTGAGTCAAAACGGGGTACTCGGGGTTCTCCTTTTTTGAATCAAACGAAGCTAAATCAGGCAAATGCGGTGATTGCGACACGATATTAGCTGAAAAGGTGGCGAAATGATCATGAACAACCAATGCAGTATGATTGGCGTTATCGCACTTTTCTGTTCAATAAATTCCGACACAGTAAAAATCGAAGAATTCACTTTTAGAACCTCACGAAACGACGCGTATCTCAAATACTAATGAATGTTTTGACGTGAAATTTAGCATAGATGTCACTAACAGTACTACAAAGTTAAAGAAAAAAAATTTACCGATTCGAAAAACATGCAAAGCATAAATTAAAAATTAAGCTTTCAATTTGATCACAGTAGCAAAAAATATTACGACTTTTTTATTTACATTTTTATTTAGAAAGTCGAGAACGCGTTGACGACGAGCCACGTCCAAGACAACCAAGGACATGAACTGTTGGTCAAAACGCCAATGAAATAAAGAAATTGGTGCTTGAGTATCGACGTTTAACCGCAGGGAGATTCTACTACCATCGTTGGTATATCGGAAGAATCAGTGCTGCATTGAATCTTCGTGAGTTTTTCGTCAAATGTTCAACCAATATCATGCCGCAATTACTGTATTCGCCTGATTTAGCTTCGTGATACTTCTGGCTATTCAGCAAACTCAAAAGACCGTACCGGAGAAACCGTTTTGAGTCAATTGGATACATTAAACGTGAATCGCTACTCCAGAAATTGACTTTAACAACTGTTTTGAGAATTGGTTTAGATGAGTGTTCCAGGGCCAAGAGGGATTTCTTTGAGTAGAACGACATAGATTTTGTGGAATATGCTAAGAATTTTAAAATTATGAACAAAGTCTTAATATTTTTTTGCCCATAATAGTATACATACATACTTATGAATGAATTTGTTGTGTACTAGTTAAGCGTTTGACTGCCGGTCAGCCGACAGATAAAGTGATGTGTTTGTAGTTGTATGACTTGCGCTGCACAAACACGGTTAAGACACCGCGATTTGGGTGCGGGAGTATTTACGCGTTCACACACACACACGCACACACATGTATGCCTGAGTACATATTTATATTGCATGTAATGTGATTTCACTTTTAATTGAAAATCAAAGTTAACCAACAAGCGAATGACGTAAGCGCATTGTTTACATTGGAGTAAAGACAAATATATACCGACACGCAGACAAACAGACAAACAGGCATACATGCATGAATCAGGTGAGAAAATTTTTACAGGATAATTATCGCATAATGAGTTCGACTAAGCAGACACACACACAAACACATGCATGTATAAAGCGAAAGTAGATCAAATAAATTAAATTTAATTGACGCTTACGTAAATTCTTCGAAAAAGAAAATTATAAAGAAATGAAAACAAGCTCACACATACACCCACACACACACACATATGCACATGAAAACATATATGCACAAATGCCATATGAAAAAATTGTCAAATATTAATTACATGACCCCATACCACCGCCATTCTTGCGTCTTCTTGATCATCAGCGTAAAGATACCCTCGAGCAGGAGCAGCACCAGCGGTCCGCAGAGCGACCAGTAAATGTAGTTCTTCGTATTGACCGTCACTTGCCAAATGGCCAAGATGCTGTGCGCGCCGAAGAAGATGCGCGTCAGAATCGCTTTGAATGTCGAGATGATTTTCGGCATGATTACATAATTGATGCACCGCTTTTGCTCAAATCACATGCTTAAACACTGCACACAAGTACACTTACGCGCACACTAACACACGCACACATATGCGCTTACATACACAAACATATGTGTGTGTGTATGGTTGTCTACAAAAACCGCAGTGTTTTAAGGAAACTCGCTAAAATTATTGAATTGAAAGGACGAACTGAGCGCCGCGAAGCGCAAACCGCAACTGAAAGTGCAAAGTTGGCTAAACGCTTGTCAAACGCTTTGACCACAAGCGTTTAGGCGCGTTCTTACAGCAATTACTTGCGCGCGGCGGTGGGTTTTATGTACTTTGCGTCTGTTATTGAACTCAGTACAGTGGTGCGCAAAGTAATCGGGTTCGAAAAGACTTGAAGTAATTTGGAAATTTTAACCGTTTATAAGCGCTACATTGTTATGCGTCGCTATTGTCATGCAGTTAAATATCCGCAGCTGCAAGTTGAGCTGCCAGCTCGTAGTTGGATGGCCGAGCTACATTCCACCTCTTACAGCCGCTTTCCTTCCTCTTGAACTCTGAATGAAATACAGTAGCTCGATATGTTTTTGAAGGATTTTACCGTTTTTGCATCATTCCGTCTACGAGATCCCATTGTCGTGGGAACGCAAGGGTCCAAAATCTACGTCACTAACTATTGGATAAGCCCTATTGTGTGAAAGGTTAGGGCCAGTCAACAAACGGATTGGAACTTACCAGTGTGGCTTTAGACCCGAAAAATTCACAACGTACCATATATTCACCATGCCCCAAATCTTGGAGAAGACCCATGAAAGGAAGATCGACACACACCACCTCCTTGCCGATTTTATAGCCGCCGTCGACAGTACGAAAGGTAGCTGTCTTTTTGCCGCTATGTCTGTGTTTGGTTTCCCCGCAAAACTAATACGAGTGTATAAACTGACGTTGAGCATTACTAAAACCTAAATCAGGATCGTGAAGGACCACTCCGAGCCTCGTTCAAACCAGGTTTCAGACAAGAGGACTTCATATCGTGCGACTTCTTCAATCTACTGCTGGAGAAAATAATTTGAGCTGCTTTGAGCGAGGGCAAGAAAAAATATATCTTGTCATCAAGCAAATCGTCGTCACATTCGCGACTTGGCTCCCACATCACTGTTGATAGTCATAACTTCGAAGTCGTAGATAATTTCGTCTATCTTGGAACCAGCCTCAGCCTCGAAATCTAACGCAGAATAACTCTTGCCCACAGGTGCTATTTCGGACTAACTAGGTAATTGAGAAGTAAAATCCTCTCTCGGCGAGCAAAGACCAAACTTTACAAATCACTCATCATCCCCGTCCTGCTATAAGGTGCAGAGACATAAAAGATAACAACATCTGATGAGTCGGCATTACGAGTTTTCGAGAGAAAGGTTTTGCAGAAGATTTATGATCTTTACGCATTGGCCATGGCGAACATCGCATTCGGTGAAGCTATGAGCTATAAGGCATGACTCTAAATCTGTCTGGGGACCAGTCGGAGGCCAAACTATTATATTCAACATCATGGAAAACTATTAAGATTTTTTCATAGTCTGAATTGGATTTCAATCGAAATAAAGTTATTATTAACATATACAGTAATAAGGATGCGTTCCCAGTTCCATGGTTTCTCCGTTTTGCTATTGAGTCCAAATCCATTATTTTTCCAAGAATTTCCTTATTTTTCCTAAGAAAAAAGATCGTGGACGGAATTTCCCTCTATATATGAATCTCTGTTGAATCGTAACAAAATCGATCCCTTTCTCAAGTGGACCGTTGCTGTTGGCTTACTTATGACAACGTTAAGTGGAAGTGGTCGAGGTTGAATCGCGGTTAGTCGTTGCAAATGATAGTCAAATACGTCATCCGAGGTTTTGATATACATATGTTGGATGGAATTGACAGGGAATAATTTCCTATGCGTTGCTCTCTTACGGTCAAACCGAACCTTTATTGTAAGCGATTGGACCGACTGAAGGAAGGAATCGCTCAAAAGCTACCAGCTTGGTTAATAGCGAGAATTATGTTCCATCCGGACAACGCTAGGCCATGCATATCAATAATGAATCGCCAGAAGTTCCAGAAGTTTGTTAAGAGGTTCGTATGCGTCTACGTTGTAGTCCGCACCTGTGTAAAGTGTTCCTATCTATAGCAAATGATTCTGCTGGGGGCATTTCGTCTCAAGAGAAGTTGTTAAAAATCGACTGTTCCAGGTTTTTGTCGACAGAGACGGAGGATTTTTGAAACTGTCTTTATGCAATTGCAAGAACTTACCGAACAAAACGGTGTAAACTTGATCTAAATCAGATAATTCTAACTATGGTAAGCAAAACCTTTAATTTATGTAATACAAAAAAAAGAATTTCTTCTCATAAAATCCATACTTCGATAATTTCTTAAGTAGCAAAAGAACCGAATAATTGATCGCATGGTTACTTGGACTGCTATTCAACAAAACCATGAAAACGCTGTAAAATTTATGCGAACGGAGAAATCACTTAGCAGGTGAGGTTAGTCACTTACTGCTCACAAGCAAACAAAGTTATACGCTCTGCAAATACAACAACATGATACGGGTCTATTGCGCTATCGTACTCCTTATTAAAAAACGTAAAACGCTGAGCGCATCCAAGCGCGCTGCTGCTTCACTCTCTTCTGCTGTCACCATCTGTAATAATCTTGATAATGATGTTTTGGGTGCTGGCAATGATGATGATAATGTTGATGACTTTCCATTTCTTTACACTGACACATAGAACAATTTAACGGTTATTCGCTGCGCGGTCGAGCCAAAAGAATAAGCAATGTTGACAGCACGACTTGCTGACCAGTGTATGGGTAGGTGTAAACCCATATACGTATACATAACTATATGCATGTATCAACGGGCTCATACATAAATTGATGAGTATTTTAGGAATGAGGGTTCGACGACTAAAAAAGGTGAAATGATCGCGATTAGAATCGAAGGAATCGGCTGGAATATTTCTAGCTTCAAGTTCACATTTTATCTTTATTAAAACACCAAAAAAAAAAAATTTAATATACGGGTACAACACGAACTAGTCAAAATTGATTACTGTCAACATAAGCTTGAATTTTTGACGTCTTTGTCGTGGTTTTTTCGACTTCGGCTCAAATTTGTCACGATATTCGGCCGATTTATCGTCTGTGTCCAGGTCATAAAGGTTGGAAATCATTGTTTCGAGACGTTAACGTGACGCTCTTTTTCGAATAAATTTAGTGATTTTGAAACCAATCGTGCTTTTACTTTTCTTAAGCGCAAATGATATTTAAAATGGTTTTCACTGATATATATCCTTCCGATATTCCATTGTCCGATATCTCTGATTGTTAATCGGTGATTATTAAGCATTAATTTCTTTATTTTATTGACGTGTTGATCATCAGTTAATGTTGATGGCCTTCTCGACCCTCTTTGAATAATCTGTACCAATCAAAAATACTTAATCGCGACAAACATTTATCACCGAAGGTGTTTTCCAACATTCTTTTCAGAGAATATTTTTAAGATTAAGAAAATTCAGACCACACCTAACCGTTTAACCCCTCAAGAAAAAAATTTCAATGACACAAACTATTTTTGAGAAAAAGCATCTTCGAAGGTGGACCAATAGATACCTTGAAAAATAAGAAAAAATGTAAGTTGTAAGTAAATAAATTCATTATTTTTACTATTTATTATCTCATATAGACACAAGAGAAACCATTGAGTCTCGTCAGGAAGATCGAACATTTTAACCCCCTTTGCCACTCATAGACACACAGAGTAAGCAATGACGCCGTCCGCACCCACACAGCGCTGTTAAATGGTCACCAGTTATTTCTGTGCTCTTTGCTTTGCGTGCGTATTAATGTGTGCGAACTTTGACGAGCATGTGTTTGTTCTTTATGAACTTTGTGTTAATGGTGGTGATGACTGTTGAAAACAAATTTGCGGCTGACCACTAAACCATTGGGTTGAGCTCCACCCACATTCACGGCAGGAAGGATGACTTTTCTATCTCTGCATGACACTGAGCACTTTAATCACGTGAGGTCAATGTGATTTGTGCAGTTATTGATATTCGATGGCAGCTTTAAACGCTCACAGAATAATTGTATAGATATATGTATGTTTTTTTAAACTTAAAGTGCCGAGACTACGGGGAACACTCTTTCAAATGGTTAGTTTGCTATAAGTTGAATATAATAGTTTTCTTAACATGACACTTTGTTTGTAAGTCCTAAATTCGGAATAAGAAGAAGAATTGATATCCAAATGTCAGTCCGTCTGTTAGATGAATAACTCTCTACTACGCCTGCAAAATGCCAAAGTAAGAAAATGCATTTGCAAGTAATGTAGCGCTAAGTTTGGGTGCAGCCGAACACTTTATATTCTCGCAATTGTTAGTGATCAAAACAGGGAAAATACTTTCAAATATTCAAGTGAATTTTATCTATTTCCATAAATAAATGGAATTTTAAAAGACCGTCAGTTTAGGGGGTAATTCTTTGCGAAGTTCCCTACTTCTTTAATCTAATGAGAAATATCAGATGAAACAACATTCTTTGGAATTTATTTTATATTAGTATTTAGTTTATCAAATCAATAGTTTCGAAAATCAAATGTTGGCCGCAGCTACGTCTCAAATGGTCCACTCGTTTAGTCCAATTTTCGATGACTCGATCAAACATTAACACGAGTAATGTTTTGATCCAAGGCCTGAAAACCGGTGCCGTCTTGTTAAACCAAATGGCGTCAAGATCACGAACTTTAATTTCAAGCATCAAATACTTGATTGTCACGACGCGATAAAGTTCTCACCGGCATCATTTTTGACGAATACTGGCCCACAAACCACATCAAACCGTTTTTTTCTGGATAAAACAGGAGCTCTTGAATCTCTTTAGGCAGCTCTTCGTCCCAAATGCAGCCATTATGCTTTTGCATGCTTTCAATATCAGATCGCGACGTAGAATGCGC